GGTCGGCGAAACCGTATCTTATTTTGACAGCCCCTAACCACTAATGAGGGCAATATTGCCACGATGAACAGCTACGTGGCCGCGCAAGAAAAAAGTAGGGGACCACCTACCAGCCCGACCACCACCACCGCCTCGCCTCTCCGTGCCTTTTGTTTCCGATGCCGTGATGGACCATCCCAGAATCACCCCCCCCCCCCCAATAAACCCTCAATAAACAAAACGCAAACAAAGGTTTTCCTCATCTCGAAGCCTTTCCCCGATGCGATGGCGCGTCGGCCACGCGCTACGCGCGAATAAGGGACAGACCGTCTTTGTTTAATCATTTATAACGTGATGAATAAAAAGAGGCGCTGCAAAGGAGCGGCTGCCTCTGCTCATAACTTATAACTTAGCTGCAGTAGCAGCCATCGTATTTTGAGCCGCGGTGGCGGGCTAGTCGACTTACCTCCTCGACCAAAAACCTGCCTCCTTTTTTCATACTGACCCCTTTCCTAACATCCCTAATCATGGCCACAAAACCGGCGGCCAGAGTCGGCTTGATCCGCCCCGACTATAGAAGATATTATTTCGACGTCCCCAGGGAGTAAGCAGGAGCCTAGCAGCCCCTGCTCTGCAGAGATAATCCCTAACAAGCCGAAAGCACCGGACGCAACTAGACAAATACTATGAGGCGAGGGCGCCCCCAAACCACAGAGATTATTAGCGTGCTGATTGCCTACCCCCCCCCCCCCGGCGCTACTCAGTTGTAGCTACGGTCGTCACGGCCATACGCATGCAGCTTCATTCGAACAAACCAAAGACAACAGTCAAAAGTCCGCTCGGCGCCGTAAATGCCCGAGCCCAACTTCTCCCATCCGGTCCTTTCGTACACCTTCTCAGCAGGTCCCCCGCAAAGAGTTCGCCCGACCCGCCCAGGACTCGACCCACTCGCCCCCTGCGTTTAAAGTGTCCCGGGGACGCGGCCCGGCACGCTCACCGCTCAGCTGTCGGCTGCTCCTGGCAAACGCGAGTTCAGAACTCAGCCCTAGTTTTCGGGCCTTGGTCTCTGCCGTTAGGCCCGCCCACCCAGGCGGTCAAGTCCACCTCCTTAACGCGCTTGTGTGAACGGTATTAGGGTGACATGACTCGCCGCAGCTTCATCTCGACTCTGCATAAATATGTTGATAGTCAAACTGCATCCCGCATAATTGAATGCACTTTGATAGCCGTCAGCAAAGTTTTGAGAGGCAGGCCACAAAAAGGAGTTGGACATTGGACATGAGATTAAGGGTCTTAGCTTGATTTGCGTGTTACAATCTCAACTACGAAAATAGGCCTTGAGCGGCATACAAGTATTCAACACGGGCACTTGCTTGAGTGGGGTGGTACACATTTAATAATTTCCACTAGATAGATGGGCAACTTGATAAATAAAGAAAACAATGAAATAAAAAATATGC